GTATACCTAAAAAACTAAGACACATATTTAAGCCTCTCTTATGCATAATCCTTTGAATGAAGACTAAAACATGGATTATATTATATGGCTACTAACTAAGACCAAGCCTTCAAAACAGATTTTTTAAAAGGTAAATTACTAATTAGAACAAAAATGTCGGTGTGAGAACTACTGAAACAAAGTAAGCTGATTTTATGATATTAAAAAGTTGTTTTCTTTAAAAACAAGTTCTAGTGTTAAGTAAAGATAGATCACCATTTTTTAATAATATGTAGGGTTTTTTTTAATAATAACAATTCATCTGAGTTTAACTTCTCCTTTGAAATATTCACAAAAAGATATCTTCAGTTTGAATTATTATTTTCAATGAATCCCTTCTCTTCTAAACCTCTTGTATTCGAAGACTATGATTTTTAAAATGAATTATTAAAAAACTTATTTTTTAAAATGAATTTAAAAGAAAAATAATTTTTTTATTATATCTTAAATTCATGTTATTGAATCACAATAATCATGTGCACTAGAGGTAAGAGGCAAAGTAACATCAAGATATATTGATTAGAACTTAGAAGTATATATAAATGATAAATGATGATGACAGTTAAATCCATAGGGAGTTGAAACATAGAGGTAACAGAATCCCCCAATGTTTCCATACTTTTGACCTATTTATACCATTGCCGGACACCAATGCTTTTGAGCTTCATATTTCATGAGACCCATAACTTTAATGCGCGTTGACTTTATACATAGTTTAGGATTCCACATGGATGATTTTTCCCATGAAAAGTCATAGCCAGGAGAGAAATTACCACATAAGTTGAAAATGTAAGAAAAAAAAAGTCAAAGAGTGGGGAAGGAAAATCTTCTCCGGCGCTTTGGGGAGCAAAATCACGGCGGTACGAATGCTGTGTTGATCAGAAAAAGACCGTTTTGCCCCCGAACCATGCGGCGTGGGATGCCAAAACAATGCTCTCATCTGCAGGAGCCAGTCCATCAACGGCGACAACAAATATTTCTTTCTTTTGTTTTTGCTCTCTTTTACTGCAGGTCATGGATGATCACCTTCCTCCTCTGATTCAAGTGGCCTCCCAAATTTTCTGAGTGCAAGAGAATATACGGCTTTTCTTTTCATAGACTTGCCTGTTGCCACCATCTTCACTGCCTGCCCATCACCCATCACATAATAGTTAACTACATTCAGCCTTCAAATCAATACAAGAAAACACTTTTTTTAAAGCATGTAGAATTCAGCTCAAATGTGAGTGGATCTATAATTCGATATTTCACAAGGAGCTCACAAAAATGACCTCTAAACGAAATATACTATGAAACATTTACATGGTGTAAATAATATTTTTAAAAATTGAAATTTTATTCACATGATCAATGGAGATACTCAGATACCGTTGAGAGTGTGTGCCCTTGCGATATCAGCTCTTTCAAATCACTTTCCAGTTCTGACTCAGATGGAGCGTCATCTGTACTCGGCGGTTTTCCTTCAAGCAAGAAGGTGATTTCCCCCTTAGGTTGATGTGTTGAGAATGCTTCTTTGGCTTGGCCTATAGTGCCACGCCAGAACTGATAGATTCAATGAAGACTACCTCTCAGAATATGAAAAAAAATCTTACTAGAAGAAGCTACTTCTAGTAAATAGGCATGAATTCACTATTTGGGGGTGTGCGAAACCGCACCTCCTCATATAATTTAGTCATTTCTCGTGCTATTACACACTGCCTGCAAGAAAGCTTAAAACTTTAAGTTGTACGAATGGTTTTGCACACAAATGTGATTGAACGAATCATGCATATCATACCTAGAATCGCCAAATGCGGAAGAAGTCTCCTCAAGAAAATGGCAAAGCTTGTGAGGTGGAACATAGAAAATCTGAGTTGTCGCCTCATTTGCAGAAACAATGAGCCTCTCTCTCCTAGAACCAGCATGTTTTGGGAGAAATCCAACTGCATATAAATTTTTGAAAAGAAATCAAATGTCATAATAACCACACTACTAAAGTTTACCACGGTAACTAAGGCTACACGTGTTTGCCTGTCATCAACAATACCAAATGTGAACTCATTAGTGGGTAAACCAGATGCCGATAGTGCAGTTATGAGGGCAGAAGGACCGGGGATAGGAATCACAGGTATATTCATCTTCACACATAATTTTGCCTGCATAACAAAAAAAAACCATGGCATGCCATTATGAACTTAGAACTTAAAACAATCACCCATTAATATTTATGATTTAAAAAAAAAGATATGATAATGCCAATTTTCTCGTTGAAGAAAAGAAAAACTCACCAAATCTGCACCGGGATCACTGATGCCCGGAGTTCCTGCATCACTGATCAATGCCACAATTTGACCCTCCTTCAGTCTTGTTAACACAGCCTGCTCCCTCTGAGATTCATTGAATTTGTGATAGCTGAGCTGAAAGTCTAAAGCTTAGCATGAGAAATTCTCTATGTTCACAGACATCAATTAATCAATGCACACAAGAGAAGAAAGAGCAGTGATGTCACTCACAAGAGGAGTCCTTATATTGTAATGCTGTAGCAACTTCCCTGAATGCCTGGTGTCCTCAGAGAGTATCACATTTGCAGAATTTAAGACTCTTAAGGCTCTGAAATGATCAATAAGTTCTTCACAAATACAGAAACAATGATGACGATAAACATTGAACATTTTGGTAATATAAAAAACAAATCTTTATGATCAGTAGAAAAAGATTACAAAAATAAATGGCCCAGGTGATCTTACCTCAGAGTAATGTCTTCAAGATTCCCAATAGGTGTCCCCACCAGATATAATCCTGGCTTCAAGGGTTTCTAAAAGAATTGGGG